CTATTAGTCCGATTTAAGATTGGTTCAACTTTGTAAAACTATGTTGTTTTTGTTTTATCGTGTCATCTACGAAATCTATTTGTGATTTTATATGAGGGCGTCGATGCGACAAAACGGCATGAGGGTATCTGAAATTTCAAAATAACTTAAAATATCTAATAGAAGCATAATGAGAATATATAGAGCATATATTACTAAAGGTAACACAAAAGAGTCAATACCAGGAGAATATAGACATAAGAAAATGAAAAAACGTGATGAAGGAAAATTGAAAAGGATTATGAAGAAAAATAGGTCTAGCAGACGACAGTAACTACACAAATTATTAAGGAGTTCAATTTTAACTCAGAAACGAAAATATCTCACAGAACAATTCGATGAGAACTTAGATATCTTGGGCTTGAAAGTCGACGAAGCAGCAAATATTAAATGAATTGACTGGGCCAGTGAGTTAACTTTCTGTGAATAACTGTGTTAACTTTCTATGTATGTTTTTTACGATGTATTGGCTTATTGACCTCCAAGTTATGGTGGGTTGCCTTATTCAGGAAGATAAGTTCGCAGCAGTTTGTTAGATTACTAGTCTATAGATTAGCCCTTAAGTAATAGTTTTTTAGAGCAAGTCATTTTCAATATGAGATTTTCAAAAAGAAAAAAAGTTTTGGATATTATTTGCATATCTTAGGAAATACCCAACCAACATCGTTCAAATATTAAAATTTAACTTCAAAAATTAAATTTTTTCTCTATATTAGCGTTTCGGGTTTTCCGTAAGTTCCCTTCGGGTTTTCCGTAAGTTCCTTTCGTGTTTTTCGTAAGTTTCCTTCGGGCTTTCCGTAAGTTCCCTTTGGGTTTTCCGTAAGTTCCCTTCGAGTTTTCCGTAAGTCCTCTTCAGGTTTTCCGTAAATCCCCTAAAGTGCTCAAAACTGCGACGTACGTCGCAGAAAAACTTATGTCCTGGTCAAAATGAACAATTTTATATGCTGTTCATTATTTTTGTTTCCTCATAAGTGCTTTTACACAATTTGGTATTTTGTCAATTGAAACTCCTTTTTTATGCAATTTTAGTTTACAAAATAAAATTATTCAATATTAAAAATAATAAAAAAACAGTTATAATTTAGGTTGTGAATTTTTTTTTCTTTATTTTTGATGCAATCCGCAGGACATTATGTCGAATTTTACTCCAAAGCCTATATCTGCAGCTTAAATGAGCAGTCAGTTTGACCGTACGTCTTAATTACAAGTTGATTCACTTTTTTTTGCTACAGGTTTACTTATGTCAAATTAAAGAATTGTTGAAATAAAAAAAAATTCCTTTTCACCCGAAAAAATAGATCAATCACTGATTATATGAATTTTTTATCAGGTTCAATTGTTAAACCAAAATCATCAGGAGAATTCAACAACGAACAATTCTTCATTCGTTCTGTATTTTCTACAAACGGTCTATGTGTCATAATACGCAGGGCCCAAAATATACAGGTCAGTCAAGACACGGATGTTATTCACAACAAAATTAATTTTATGTCTGTGTCTGTTGAAAAACAACATTTATGACACACAAAAAAAAGCGCAAATGAAAAAATAATAATAATAAATACGTGAGCGCAAATTAAATGTATCTTGTGATTGACAAAAATTGAAATACATGTTTTTTTTCCTCTTTTTCTTTCTGCGCACTTACGGTCAAAATGACCGGTAACAATGATTCTAGGTATACAGGTTAATATTATGAAAATTAATTGCTTGATATGAAGAAAAAAATTTAAATTAATTAAAATTCGTTAGCCAGTAGAAAAAAAGTAAAGAATTATAAACTTGATTATTATTGAAATCAGTTTTTTTTTAAACGAAATATTTCTCCGGAATAATTTTGGATAATTTTCTTTCTGTTTTTGCAAAAATTATTTTGCCTGAATTTAAAAAAAAAAAAAAAGTACTTACTATGTATAATTAAAGTTTTCACTTCAAGCAAATCCATGTCAAGTGAACGAACTAAATTTTGCTTCATTTTTCACACTTTCCGTTTTTAAAATTATGAAACTTACCATTAAAATTATGAAACTTACCATAAATAAACTGAAATATAGTTGGAATCTATTTAGTACTTACTGCTCTGCTTTTCTAATTAAAAAAAGAACGAAAAACTAGAAAACCTGATTGAAATTTCTGCTTTGAGAATTTTAAATTTGAAAGATAAAGCCGGTTTAATTTTTCAATTAAAATAAAATTGTTCCTATTAAACATTTCTGCTCTGCAAATTTTAAAATGCAAAGCCGCTTTACCTTTACAATTTAAAACATATCATTTCTGTTTTGAGAATTTTATATTTTAAAGGTGAAGCCGATTTATGTTTCTCTAGAATAAAATAAAATAAAATAAAAAATTAAATTAAATTAAATTAATCATTTTTGTGAGAGATTCCTCGTCTAAAAAAAATTAAAACTAAAAAGGTATAAAGAGATAAATTTTCGATTCTTCTTTTAGAAACTTTGTAATATGTTTTCTGTTTTTCCTGGTGAGTAGCCATGGAAAATTCCATAATTTTTAAAAATTTAAAGATTTTAGATTTCTGTCTATTAATTCCATTCCGTATAAATTAGTAATTATGCTTAAATTCCATATTTATATCACATATTTAATAAAAAAGAATATCAAACAACTTTATTTTCTTGGCGCGATGGCTTCTTCATCATTGTTTATTCAAGTTGGACAAAGTACAGTTTAGCTAAATAATTTAATACCATGCTCAAGATCAAAAGCTTGCCGAATTTTCGTAAATGTTTTTATGAGAGTTTTAAGGAAATCTTTAAAAAAATATGAAGTGTTCCTGCCCATATTCCAGGTATAGGCTATAAAAGCTCACTTCTTTGAAAGAACTGTTTTAGTAGAAATCACCAAGAATGACATCTTCAGTTGTAAAAATTGTGCGAGTGAGCCTGCATCTGGAGACCACCCCAGACCATTATATCCCTACCACCTCTGTTAGATTTTTTGGATTTTGAAAGGATTCCTTGTTCTATAAAAGTGCCGCTTTTAACGACTTAGCAGCTGTTTCGTTCTACACAAATTTACATTGCTTTAGATTTTTTTTTTTCTTTCTAAGCTCTGAATTATCCCATTCAGGAAGTTTTGAAATATATCATTTTTCAAAATCACTCCGTTTCAGATCGTAGCGGCTTTGATTTTTTTTTCTAAAATTTTTGACGTTTGTCAGAAACCTTTTTTTCGCTGAATTGGTTTTGGAAAACTCAATGTTCTTCGCTTTTATGACTATTCACTTCTGTTGAAAAAATAAAAAAGCTCTACAATAATACAAAGTGATAACAGGATGTTAATATCACGATATATCGCCTGGAAATGTTGATATTTCACGATTGATATCGTTTCCTAATTTAAATAATTCGCGTTGTCCTCTCAGGAAATAATATTTTTGTAACCTGAATGTGACTCATGATAATATCGTATACATTCAGGAAATTTTGAAACTATATCATTTTTCAAAATCACTCCGATTCAGATCATAGCGGTTCTGATGACTAACGATAATATCGCATTCAATAATTATCGACAATATCGTTGCTGGTCGATAATATTCCATAATGTAGCGTGATTTTCGCTTGTATAATTTTAATTGTCAATACCTTAACCCTTTTTCAACTTAAGGTGCATAAACGCACCATTTTAATAAGCATTTTCTTATTAACACGCTGATATTTTTAACTAATTTCATTTTTCTGCTATCGCCAAGGATTCTGGTGACATCTGTAAAATATTAGCAATTCAATAGGAGTGTAAGAACTCACTGTTGAAAAATTTTTAAACTACACTATTTTTTTTCATTTATTTACTTATTTTGACTCATGATTAATAAATTTGACTTTCTGAAAATGTATAATTATTCCTTTTGAGATTAATCATATGTTTTTATTACGGATTAAAGTTGCACAAGTTCTGTAAATATGAAGTAAAAAAAAAGCAAACAAATGTCATTAAAAAAACTAGCGTTCAACTAATTGATTTGTCCATTGATTTGTCCAATAATATATTAACCAGCTAAATGAAATGGTGCATATGCTCACCATTTTATTTAGTAAATGAAATATTTTGCATGCATATTTTATTTTTGTTTCTCAACAAATGTAATTTAAGTATATTTCGAAGAAAATAATGCCACATTTTACTGTTTGTTCTAAAATGGTTAAAACTACATTAAGTATAAAAACATTATTAAATTAAAAATAATATTTTTTTTTTTATAATTAATGTAAAAAAAAAAAAAAGAACATTATGTTATGCTAGTTTAGTCTTAACTCTTGAAAATGTTACATTTTTGTATAACTCTGATTAATTATATGAAGTATATAACTAAAATATTTCGTAGACTAAATGGTAAATATCACAGTAGTATAAGTCACACTAAGTACTAGATGGTATTTTCGAAAAATAAAGGGTCGACTGCGACTCTGTTTCTCGGAATTGTATTTTCTTTTTCTTTTTTGTTAACAAATGGGGGAGCAGACTTTTTTTTCATTTGATGTTGTTGTTATTGTCTTGCCACTTGTCAATACTGACAAGCCCATTTTAAGCCAGAGGGGTGCGTTTCTTCTTGTTATCCAGTGGCGCCATCTATGGCCAAGAATTCGACTTCTGAAATTAAAATTATTAAAAATTAAAGTTATTGAAAATTGAAATTATTGAAAATTAAAATCATTGAAATTTAAAATTATTGAAATTTAAAACTATTAAAAATATAAATAATTGAAAATATAAATTACTGAAAAATAAAATTATAAAAAGATTTTTTTTTGCCCACCATACTGTTTAAGTTTGCACAATATTAATGTTGTAGAAAATTTTTCAAAATATTATGTTCAAAATTCATAATTATGTTATTATGTTCAAAATGTCTAAAATTGTACAAAACTGTGTAAAAATAAGAGTTTGAAATTATCCCTCTTATTCCACCTCCACTGATCAAAATATTTCTTTTGCAGGCCATAGCACGACAAATGGAGTTGAAGTGTCGGTGTCACGGAGTTTCCGGCTCATGTGAACTGAAGACGTGTTGGAACAAGTTACCCTCCTTTGAACAAGTGGGCCATTTTTTAAAAAGCAAATACGATAACAGCATACAGGTGTCTTTGAAAGCGAAGAGGAGACTTCGACGCAGAGGAAAAGTGAAGCGGAAAGTACCAGTGCAAAAAGAGGACTTGGTTCACATCCACCGCTCGCCAAACTATTGTATTGAAGATTTCAAAAGAGGAATACTTGGTACGAGTGGACGGCGATGTAACCGTACAGCTAAAGGACCACAATCTTGCAATCTCTTATGCTGTGGGCGAGGCTATAATACGCAGGTACTTATTGCACTCACTAAAATAATATAAATATCAATTGGGTATAATATAAAAAAAACACAACTACTTCCACTTAGTAGGAATAACATTTACCATGACGCAATGCTACATTCTATGCCACTATCCACATAAATGCCACTATCCACATAAATCAATTATTAATCAAAAATCGAATATCAATTACTTTTCTTTATAATGCAATAAAATCTGGCGAGCAGCTATTTAAGCGATCAAACACTTTTTGTTTATTTGTGGCTTGAAGTTAGGCTCGCAGAAAATGCCGTTCATGGGTTAAATTTAGTAGGAATAACACAACCTGTGACGTAGGCTATAGTATACCCAATTGAGATTTTGTTTGTCATCTAACGATTTGAAATTCAATTAACGCTGTATTTCAAAGCTCTGGCACCAAGAAAATTTTTTAAAAAATTCCATAGTTTAACTGCCTTTCACTTGAGGCAATACGATGATTTTGAACTAGATACACAATCTTGCCGTGAAGAATTATCTGGGCTTTAGAACAGACAAATAACTTAAATATTTGAAACGTTGTTGAATTTTTTTTTATTGGCGACAATTTTTCAATTGGCGACAATTTTTCAATTTTTTTCAATTTGGCGACATTTTTCCACCCTAGATGAAAATTATCAAAATCAGTGCCTTATTTTCAGTTTCTGCAAATTTTTATGGCCCTAAGTAATGCAGCATTGTAGCAAGTTCTTAAATATTAGTCCACAACTACTTTTCATTTTAACAAAACTGTGGCTTATCTCCATACTGAAGTTATGCACCATTTTCAAAGTAAGCGTAGACAGCGCTGGCTTTAGATAGGCTAAATTTCACTTAACAGTCATGAGTAACAGTTGCAAACTCACAACAGTCATAAAAATAGCATATTATTCACAAAAAAGCATAATTTCATATTACGATGGAACCTTCGAAAATTAGCCTTAAAGAAAAATGCTAGGAAACAGAAATGTGCATATTGTTGCGTTCTTAAGAAACTAGAATATTTATTTTGTTTAATTTTTCTCTCTAATAATTATTTTCTCTAATAATTCTATCTAATTCTAATCTCTCTTTTTTTTTTAAATTTCAGGTACACAGAAGATTAGAACGCTGCCAGTGCAAGTTCCATTGGTGTTGCTATGTCAAATGCAAAACATGCGAAACCATGGAAGAAATCTACACTTGCAAGTGATACCAATTTTAATCGTACTCACTAAAATGATCAAGAGAGAGCACGAGGATAACAATTCGATAGTTGATACTAAACCTCGTTACTTTGGAGGAAAATGTTTTTTAATAAAAATTAAATCAAACAAACCTGGCGACAAGATTTTATGTGGCAAACAAAAACTCAGCATACTCATTCATGTTCAGAAAAAAAACAAGCATAATTAATTTTCGTTCCATTTTTGTCACAGAGAGAAAGTGTGAGAGGTTGATTTTCTTCAAGTGTTTGATCGTGAAATGAAACTAGATTGTAATGGATTTCTTTAGGAGTTCATTTCGATTTGAGCCCTGGTGAATTTGTAGTGTATTGATATAAAATCTGTTTGGCGTTCTGGTGGTGTTATAGCTTGGCGAAGAGTTCGCAAACCAAACATCTTGTTTCCATTTCGTTCCCTGGATAAGTGTTTTTACGAAGAAAGCTGTAATAAATATGCTTTGAGTACAGATGATCCTATGTATATTGAAAATATACTTTTTTTTTTGGTGAACATTGTATGAATGGAAATACTTTTTAGACAACTGGATTGCGTTATAAAACAATGATACTTACAATCAGAAAGTTCATCATAAATTTGTACATATGCTTTTTATTTTTTAAATGCACGCATTTAATTTTGAATGACTTAAGTACATTGCAACAGTTTTTTTTCTCTCTTTACTATTTACCTTTTAGCAACTGTTGGAACCAGTTTGCACAGCAAGATCTATATTTGTTTTCTTACACTTTTTACGGCTAAATTTTTTAGTGTTCACTTAAGGTGTTGCTTCGTGGCATTTTGAAAAAAAAAATCAGAGTAAATGAATTTATGAACTGAATCAATTAAAAAAAAAACAATGTTTCTTTATTTCCAGTTAAAAAATTATGATTCAGTTTAATTTGTCAAAATTTAAAACAATTTTCGGTCTATTAATTCAACTACTTACAAAACTGGATTAAACCTCTAATATTGTTTTTAAATAATGCTTCTTCACACAAACTACTCATTTTTGAAATATGTACCTTTTTTTACACGTGTAACAGCTCGATTCTAATATTATTCAATAGTTACCGTCAGTGAAAATTGAGCAAGAATAACGTTAGACACGCAAAACTTTCTAGTAAGCCGCCTAAGTGCTTAGTACGCAATTTCACAATGTAGCTTTCGCGTAATATCCCAGATAGCAAAATAAGGTTTATTTTCATTCAGCAAAAACCTTTTATTGTAAACCTAAAAAGGTTTTCCATGTGATTCACGTGTAAACCTTCTAATCTTAAAACTAGATCTGTCACAATCTGCTGCATTCTTCACACATTACCCTAATCCAAAACCTTGGAAGACAACCTTCGACATAAAAATCTTAAATCGAGGTTGTCATAGCGTGAAAAAATCTTTTTAATATCATACGAAAGCTTTCGAAAAAAATATGTCTTTCGCGTAATATGTTGTTTAACAGTGTTGCTTACAAAAAAAAATAAATTATTAGGTAGTTGTGTGGACTACTGTCCGACTATCACGAGAATTATTCACTACTGAAAGTCTGAGGTTTTCTGTTGCTATGGAAACAAGGAAAGCTTTCGTATGATATTAGAAAGATTTTTTCACGCTATGACAACAACCCGTTTTTAAAGGAGAAAAAGTGAAGAAATCTTATGACTCTCCCAAAATAAACGGTTGAGAAACGGTCAACACCCATTCGAAGTGACTTATCTTCGTAACCACTATAACCGTAAGCAGACGAGTCTGTTTCTGGAAGAGCTCTCGTGGTAGCTGAACAGTAGATACTAAGATTTTTCAATAAGTCGCAAGTATCTGGTAGGTTAACTTATGAAAAACTTTTTGCGTGTCTAACGATATTCCAAGTCGAAATCTCGTTTGTTACTCTTAATGCCACATTTCGGCAATTTCAGTAAAAGAAATTTCATCACAATTCTTTTATATTTGAAGAAATAGATTGAACCCATTTAAGAATAAAAATTAATTTATGTGTACATTTGAATATTTCATGTCATCTCATTTGCACAGTAAGCTCTAAGCTTATAGTGAAATTTCATTTAATTTGTATATAGTCCCTCACTTGTAGTTGTCTTTATAAAACCATGACATGTCACCAAAGTGATAAAAATGCATTTCTGACTGTCAATAAACATTTTGTACATTTCCCCCCTTGACATTTTTGTGTTTTAAGTGTATGGCAGTTCTCGTGATGCTAGTCTAGTATTTGTCGGTTTGAAAGTTTGTGCAAAAGGTATCGAAACAAATATGTGTGCCAAGAAGTTGTTTAGTTTTACAATATATAATTTAGTTTTAAAAGGTACTATTCTATTGAGGAATAATCATTTGCATTTTAGTTTATTCACTTTGATAAAAAAAAAATTTACAAAGTTTTGTATAAAAGATTCTTTTTTTGTATATTCAGTCCCTTTTTAAATAATTAAGTATTTTACAAATTAAAAGAATTTTTCATTAATCAAAAGAATTGCATCCTTAGCATTTATATCTTTTCATTATAAATCAGATATTTTCCATTTTATAACAGAACGTACCATTTTAGTTTATTTATTCATTGTGATAAAAATTATTTGTACTCATTACAAATTTTTTATACCAAAAAAAAAGTTAAAATTAAATATTTTTGAAATTAAGATTTTAAGCATTTAAAAATATGTTGCGAAAATAAGTTGTATTCGACCGACAATATGTAGTTTTTCTTGCAATAATTTCTTACGATTACGAAAATTATTTTTCGTTTTAAATTGAAAAGTTCCATTTTATAAAAATAATTTGTTTTGATAAAAATCGTTCGTAATTCGCACTCGAAACAAGTTTTTTATGCCAAAAGAAAATTACAATTTTTGATATGAAAATTTTATGCATTTTAAAATACGGTACATGCCTGAAAATGAGGCGTATCCCTTGAAATAATTTTCATGCTATAATGCATTTCATGCAATAATTTTCATTTAATCTCTTATTCGTACTCAGTGTGATAGAAAAAAACATTCTTTGCAAATATTTTTTTTTAATGAGAATTAATATTTTTGCATTTAGCATCATGCTCACCTGGAGAAAACTGGAATCCTTTGAATAAATTTTTATTAGTTCATTATGTTAAAAAAATTGTTCTGTGAGCTAATTTTGGCAGTACAATTGGGCTCATAAAGTTAAAATATTTCTCTTTAAAGAAAATTCTGGAAGTTATTTATAAGTTGATCTAATGAACAAAACGGTTATCAATTAATCATTTTGGTTTTCATTTTCTCTTAATTAGTAAAATTTTAAAATATTCGAGAAAAACTTTATAAGTTATCTCTTATATAGTAATCTCTTGAAAATTTAGGAAATGTTTTTGCTTTTATATGAATAGTACTTTTTAAATCAATATTCTCCAATAATGCATTATATTATGTTCTTCTAATTATATGAATTGCCATTTGAAGCTGTTTGCCATGCGTCTAACTATGATTCATAAAACAATATTGTTTAATTACAATTACTATTTAAAAAAGCCCGTAGATCCTAACGTCCTGTTTCAATTTTTAGTTAGTGTTTCAACTTTATTTATATAAATGATGCAATGCATTGTGTACATAGTTTTCTGCTTTTATTGAAGTTGTTATTAGTACTGAAAATGAAATATAAATCCTGAATATTAAAGAAATTTCTGAAAAAGAAACTAATGCATTGTTTAAATGTTACTGAAAGTGGAGTTTTTACAATTTCCGATGAAGATTTATAATTTAAATGTACTTTGATGATTGTACTTTTGTAAAACGGAGAATTTTCCAAATAATCACTCTATGGATTTAAAATTGTACTGAAGTATTCAACATTTTTGAAAATGTTTTTAGTTTGTAAATAAATAGTGTTCATAATGAATTTGTGTAGTTTATATCATACAGAAATGAAGAGTTTAAGGAACTAACATGAAGAACATTTCATGTAAGAAACTTCAAACATTTGTTCACAAAATACTTAATGAATACTTAAAACTGACAAAACTAATAAACCTTATCCAGACAGCTAACCTTAACATATTTTACGTTTAATATAGTATGCTATGAAATTAATGGAAAAAATTGTAAAAAGAAGTCGTTCGTAATTTTAAACATTGACAATTGAATAGTAACTCATGGCCGGAAATATGATATGCAGCTCTTGTCACCTCCTCATTATGGACTGGCTGTTCGTGCGCATTTGAACCAGTAGTTTCATTCATCTTAAATAGCGTAATTTTACCACGTTTTCTGATCATTATTATCAAAATTGCATTCAAATAGGCCTTGAAATAGCTGTTCAATCGTGATTTAATAATTTTGTGACCATCTTGCTGAACTTCGCCAGTTGGTCACCAAATCATTAAATATAGATAAAACATCTTTTTCTCAGTCTATTTAAATAAAACTTTCAACAATAATAGGAAAACCTGAGGCGAAAATGAAATTGAAACAATTTAGATAAATAACGGTACCAGTTCAAATGAAGGAAAGCTAGTCTATAATGTGAAGTCGTTCCTAGCGGCATATCCAGTCATGGATTGCTGCTTAATTCTCGATCTTTATGATATTCTCTACTTACAGTTTTAGCCAATAGTTTTATAACGCCACATACTTACAGCTCCTTAAATTTAGTAATCGGAATGTTTCTAAAATGTTATTTACGTATGTTTTTCCGTGAAGCTCTTCCATTTCAGAGTGCTTTTTCTCACAGCGCAGTACTGTTTTTTTGTAATAACTGTTCGTATAATAGTTCTTTGAAATCATTTTTTGACACACAAAATAATTGAAAAATTATAAACCAAAGTAAAGAACTGCCAAGCAAATTGCTGAAACATTTTAAAAGCCCCTAGACAAGATTTTTTTAAAAAATTTTTAACCTAATTTTAAGTGTTTCTCAGTAATAATAACTAGACAGATCATTTTAACTATTTTTTTTTAATCTACACTGTTTAAAATCCCCTATATAGTGTTACTAGAGCATTTTTATTTTATTTATATATTTTATTAATTTTTAAGAACTGCAACAGTTAAATTATTTTTAAAAAAATTTAGTAAATTTAAAAGTTGATCACTAAAAAATTCAAAAGAAATTCTACTGCGTACATTGAGAATATGATTTTTAAAAAATATGTTAAAATAGTTGGCCAAGGAATAACGTATTCAAGCATTTTTGCACAAAAATAACAATGCATAAAACTATTTCTGCTTTATTTAATAACTGTAAATAAATGAGCTTTATTTAAATGCTTATTATCTATTATTTCATAATCTTATTATCTATTTATCAATAATCTTATCTATTTCTGCTTTATCTATCACAAACTTTTCTTAAAAATACGCTTTAATTATAGCACAGTGAAGCTCTGGCAACTTAAAACTTGATTTAGAAACTAATTTAAAATGAAAGCTATTATGAACCAGAGTTATTACATTTCTCATTTCACTTAGAAACGCGTACTTGCTATATTAAATTATCGAATTTTGGTTTCTCTGAACTGTAATAAAGTAAATTTAACCTTATTAGGAGGCAAAGGTGCTCTGTTTGAAGTTTGAATCATTACTTTTGCCAACCATAGTATATTCGATTTGTAGTTACTTGTTTCA